AACTAAGTTTTTCATTGCCATATCTACACTGTAGCTAATGTGCAAATGACAATAAAGCCTTGAATTGAATTGTAGCATCACACCTGGATCTGCAGTCTGTATCACTCCCATCTTTCAGGAACATCCTCCCTCATCTGCCGGACGCCTCGGTTCGTGTTGTGCATTTTTGGCTCGTCCATAATTTCTGGTAACGTTTCGTTCCGCTAGCCCATCTGCTGCCGGTCCGTCTCCTCTGTTCGGCTGCCAGAAATCTGTGTTTGGATGCATGTTGAACACGAGAAACAGACTGGGAAGCCCAAGCAGCTCATCAAACGCGTCCTTTTGTACTTTTACTGAAATGCAGAAGAGGTGGATGAAGAAAAGAAATGCTTCGTCAATGATGCTGATACCCTTCATTTGCATAAGATGCTGAGATTAGGTAGTACCCAGATGAAAAGAGACACAGATGCCCAAATTGCTCATCAGTTTGTTTTGAGGAGAGGACAAGTATTTTTTGTCTGTGATAAATGATGATAATTTACATCAAAGGATAGGGGATTTCACAAATGCAACCAACAGTGTTTGTAACATTGGGTATTCAAGAAGGGGACAATGCACGTTAATTAAAATGAGCACTGAAGTCCATCATGTAAGTGGGCCAGATCTAGCCATAGAGCAGGGATCACTACATTTGCCCGCGGCCGCCAGTTGGTGATCACTGCCATAGAGGCTAATTTCCAGGCACTGCAGATGACACAAAGTGGAGCAAACGTTGAGTATTTTCCTTCAAACTGCATCTATATCTGCACAATATGGTGAATTATCCAAATTGCACTTGGCAAGGCAACATCTGTGAAAACACCTGCATGAAGTATTGTGAAGAAGACCTGGGGGGTATACTACAAAGCAGGATTTTCTCTTAGCGGCTAAATTCAGGGAAAACTCCGGCTTTCCGGTCCTACGAAGCTGGTTCTCTTTTTAGCAGGCTAGATCTCCATGGTAACTTATGCTTAGCGGCTAACCTGGTCGGGAGCAGGTTAGGTTGCAGGCTAAGAGCTCAACTCAGTGAAAGCACTGCCTGCTGACCAATCAGAGCTCAGTGTGCGGGGTTTAAAGCGATCAAGTCATATTACAGGAGAAAGGAAATACAGAAAAGCTGCCGTCGCAGGAAAGACGGCCGGCAAAAATCACCGACTGTGTGAACGTGAACATTAATAGAATATCAGCTCCATCTTCAGAGCAATCTGACTATTATAACATTAGCGTTAAGAACACTTACCACATATCTACCACAACATAAGTAACCGGATCAGAGTAACATTAAGTACAGTCCGCGGCATATCACTTCATAATGTATCATATATTTTCTTATCTGAGTCCGCTGAGCAGTATCTGGCCGTGCAACACTCACAGTGTCACATACTGTATGCAGAAGTATTATTTTAAGCAACACATTAAGTTGACGAAACACTCGAGACAAATGTAATGAAAGTCAGATGGTGTTTTAGACGGCAGTGATATCATAAACCTGTTAATGTACGCATTCAAACACTTTTTCTGTTACCAGCTGTATTCACCTTGCAGGTGCAGCTCTGTGGCTTTGATCCTGGATCAAGTGTTTGAGTCATGGATGTTTAAAGTTTAACTTCTTCATATTTGACTATAGTATTAAAGTTCACTTTTCATTCAGGAAGTATGACGCTGCGCTGTCAGTGCGCTTCTTCATGTTTGTGATTGGTCGAATGCTCCAGATACCACCCCTTTCATGTGAACGCGCACCTAACTAGATAGGACACGGCTGGCTTGAGCGATCCACTTAATAACCCGCGTCGTAGGACCGTTTAGCGAGAGCGCGTATGTTTTGGATTAGGCCAACCGGCTAACTCAAACATATCCAGGTTAGGTTGAACTAGATTCGTAGTACAGGCCCCTGGTCTAAAAACGGTATTCTACAAACGTAATAATAAATATGTGTGTGGTACAGTGTCTTCTGTTGTTTTATTCCCTCAAATGTTGCAGCAGGAGAGATAAATGGTTTGTGCTGAGTCACTGAAACTCTCATCAGAGTCTCCTCCGCTAATGAGCGACCTGATGAGTTTTAGGAGGATAACGGCACGCTCAGCATTTTGAGTTCCTTCTTTCTCCGCCGTACTTACTGCAACTCAGCCGGGTCAAACTCACTAAGCATCGCAGTGAAGATCCATGTTTCTGTCTGGGACCAGAATAAATAATGCAGTTCCTGTGTGTCTGATGTGGTTCTTAAGGTTCTGTGTGTCTGATGTGGTTCTTAAGGTTCTGTGTTTATGATGTGGTTCTTAAGGGACTGTGTTTATGATGTGGTTCTTAAGGGACTGTGTTTATGATGTGGTTCTTAAGGGACTTTATTGACAGTTTGGTTCTTAAGGTAGGCTACTTTGTTAACTTCGTAAATTTCCCCTCTGTGGGACTGATACAGGTATTCTGATTCTGATTAACAATGTCGTTCTTATGGTACTTTGTTGACATTGTGGTTCTTAAGGTTCTGTGTTTGATGTGGTTCTTAAAGTACCTTGTTTATGATGTGGTTCTTAAGGGACTTTGTTGACGGTGTGGTTCTTAAGGTTCTGTGTTTACGATGTGGTTCTTAAGGTACTTTGTTGACGATGTGGTTCTTAAGGTTCTGTGTTTATGATGTGGTTCTTAAGGTTCTGTGTTTATGATGTGGTTCTTAAGGGACTTTGTTGACAGTTTGGTTCTTAAGGTACTTTGTTAACTTCGTAAATTTCCCCTCTGTGGGACTGATAAAGGTATTCTGATTCTGATTAACAATGTCGTTCTTATGGTACTTTGTTGACATTGTGGTTCTTAAGGTTCTGTGTTTGATGTGGTTCTTAAAGTACCTTGTTTATGATGTGGTTCTTAAGGGACTTTGTTGACGGTGTGGTTCTTAAGGTTCTGTGTTTACGATGTGGTTCTTAAGGTTCTGTGTTTACGATGTGGTTCTTAAGGTACTTTGTTGACGATGTGGTTCTTAAGGTTCTTTGTTTATGATGTGGTTCTTAAGATACTTTGTTTATGATGTGGTTCTTAAGGTTCTGTGTTTACGATGTGGTTCTTAAGGTTCTTTGTTTATGATGTGGTTCTTAAGATACTTTGTTTATGATGTGGTTCTTAAGGTTCTGTGTTTACGATGTGGTTCTTAAGGTTCTTTGTTGACGATGTGGTTCTTAAGATACTTTGTTTATGATGTGGTTCTTAAGGTACTTTGTTGACAATGTGGTTCTTAAGGTTCTGTGTGTCTGATGTGGTTCTTAAGGTTCTGTGTTTATGATGTGGTTTTTAAGGGACTGTGTTTATGATGTGGTTCTTAAGGGACTGTGTTTATGATGTGGTTCTTAAGGTTCTGTGTTTATGATGTGGTTTTTAAGGTTCTGTGTGTCTGATGTGGTTCTTAAGGTTCTGTGTTTATGATGTGGTTTTTAAGGGACTGTGTTTATGATGTGGTTCTTAAGGTTCTGTGTTTATGATGTGGTTCTTAAGGTTCTGTGTGTCTGATGTGGTTCTTAAGGTTCTGTGTTTATGATGTGGTTTTTACGGGACTGTGTTTATGATGTGGTTCTTAAGGGACTGTGTTTATGATGTGGTTCTTAAGGGACTGTGTTTATGATATGGTTCTTAAGGGACTGTGTTTATGATGTGGTTCTTAAGGGACTGTGTTTATGATGTGGTTCTTAAGGGACTTTATTGACAGTTTGGTTCTTAAGGTAGGCTACTTTGTTAACTTCGTAAATGTCCCCTCTGTGGGACTGATACAGGTATTCTGATTCTGATTAACAATGTCGTTCTTATGGTACTTTGTTGACATTGTGGTTCTTAAGGTTCTGTGTTTGATGTGGTTCTTAAAGTACCTTGTTTATGATGTGGTTCTTAAGGGACTTTGTTGACGGTGTGGTTCTTAAGGTTCTGTGTTTACGATGTGGTTCTTAAGGTACTTTGTTGACGATGTGGTTCTTAAGGTTCTGTGTTTATGATGTGGTTCTTAAGGTTCTGTGTTTATGATGTGGTTCTTAAGGGACTTTGTTGACAGTTTGGTTCTTAAGGTACTTTGTTAACTTCGTAAATTTCCCCTCTGTGGGACTGATAAAGGTATTCTGATTCTGATTAACAATGTCGTTCTTATGGTACTTTGTTGACATTGTGGTTCTTAAGGTTCTGTGTTTGATGTGGTTCTTAAAGTACCTTGTTTATGATGTGGTTCTTAAGGGACTTTGTTGACGGTGTGGTTCTTAAGGTTCTGTGTTTACGATGTGGTTCTTAAGGTTCTGTGTTTACGATGTGGTTCTTAAGGTACTTTGTTGACGATGTGGTTCTTAAGGTTCTTTGTTTATGATGTAGTTCTTAAGATACTTTGTTTATGATGTGGTTCTTAAGGTTCTGTGTTTACGATGTGGTTCTTAAGGTTCTTTGTTTATGATGTGGTTCTTAAGATACTTTGTTTATGATGTGGTTCTTAAGGTTCTGTGTTTACGATGTGGTTCTTAAGGTTCTTTGTTGACGATGTGGTTCTTAAGATACTTTGTTTATGATGTGGTTCTTAAGGTACTTTGTTGACGATGTGGTTCTTAAGGTTCTGTGTTCATGATGTGGTTCTTAAGGTACTTTGTTGACAATGTGGTTCTTAAGGTACTTTGTTTATGATGTGGTTCTTAAGGTACTTTGTTGACAGTGTGGTTCTTACGGTACTTTGTTGACAGTGTGGTTCTTACGGTACTTTGTTGACAGTGTGGTTCTTACGGTACTTTGTTGACAGTGTGGTTCTTACGGTACTTTGTTGACAGTGTGGTTCTTACGGTACTTTGTTAACAGTGTGGTTGATAAGGTACTTTGTTGACGGTGTGGTTCCTAAAGTACTCTGTTTATGATATGGTTCTTGAGGTTCTGTGTGTACAATGTGGTTCTTAAGGTTCTGTGTGTACAATGTGGTTCTTAAGGTTCTGTGTGTACAATGTGGTTCTTAAGGTTCTGTGTGTGTGTGTCTGCAGGTCTGACCTGGGGAGATGACACCACTCAGCAGGTTCTCTCTAAAGAGCTTTCCAAACTGAGGAGGGTTCCTTTCAGAACGCAGCAGAACGGAGCCGTCCACAACACAGACAGCAGGTACAATATATATCCTTATTAGATCTGAGCTTCAAAGATATGTGGACACCATTCAGTGTGTGAACAGGAAGTGACTGATTTGCTGCACAAAGCATGCTGGGATACCTTTGGTGCAGACAAAGCTGGCTGTGTATCAAATTCAAACAGTGTCAATGTCAAAAGAGCCAATGAAAAGGGCTAAAATGTGTAGTTGATAATTTATCAATGTAAAAAAAAAGAACTGAAACCGATTCATACAGTTGCCTTTTTGGTTAATAAACATCCTTGTGTGGAGCTGGTTATGAAAATATGGCAATATCTGTATAAAGCAATGAAAGAGCGCACACAAAGAATGGATAACTCTGAATGACTTTTCATGGTTTATTGCACTTATTGTAAGTAGCTCTGGATCAAAACCTCAGCTAAATATAATGCAATGTAATCTAAGAGTAATTAAATGGCTGTGCAGTAACACAGTGATGACCCCCTCCCCCCTTTAGACCTTCATCTGAAGCGATGGACCCGGCGGATCGGAGGGTGAAGCCGGTGCAGCTGGAGCTCAGCAGGAACCTCCAGACGTACCTCCAACGCCTCGGACTTATCCCCAAAACCTCTTCCTCCAGCCTGAGCTCACACGGCAAGGTGAGTCTCTTCTGGGTCTCTAATGTACTTTTATTCAATCATTCTGTTATTGGTTTTTGGGTTGAGGGAGTTTATAAATTCCCATTGCAATACATGAATAGTGTCTCACATCTTTGGTTTGGCCAGATGACTGCACGGCTTTCTCACATTCACTTTATTGGGTCTGACAAGTTAAACATTTCTACTTGCAGTTATTAAACACTTTTTGCTTGCTGGATGCTGGATAATTCAGTGCCATGATTAAGGCAGCTCTATAGAAATTGTTGGGGGATTGCATTGGAAAAAAAGTATTAAACTTACTGAAAAAACTCATATAAATTGCGTTTAGAAAAAGTTAAATAGAAAAATCTGCAGGTATGATAAAACTAGTGGTATAAATAATAATCACATTTTTTTGGAGGCGCCAACAACACCATTAATAAAATATAGTAATACAATTTATGTCAACATGTGAACTAAACTACAGCATTACACATACATATTTTATGGCATTTACATTCTCTGCAGTAGCTCTCAAATTGTGTATATTTAAAAAGAACGTTATAATAATATACCTGGTTAAAAATAATCGTGGGCAATGTAAACAAGACTGTTTCAAATAAATCCAGTGTATTATATAATTAATCTGCTAAATATAGACATATTGATTTGGTCCTATAATGCTAGTAGTTGGAATACAGTGATATAATGAAGTGTTTTTCCATTTAGTCTTATACTGCAAGTTACACCACAGCCTAGTAAAATGTAATTGCCATAATGTTGTTTTTTTTTTACTGCCACTATAAAATAATTAAAGTTTTCCAGTGAGTTAATCGACTAATAAATCAGTATTTATAGGTTTGACGGCGGAAGAGCAGGTGGGACGTTTGTTTTTAACGCCTTCATGTCCCCCACCGTCTACTCACTGCCACCTGCCTAACACACACATGTGTATACAGTACACACTCCGCTATATAAACTCTCTCACACACACACACACACACACACACACACACACACACACACACACACACACACACACACACACACACACACACACATACCATGTATACATCACTTCAGGGGACATTACATTGACTTACATGCATTTCCTGGAGACTTATCCTAACCTTAACCATAACTAACACATGCCTAACCCTAACCCTTACCCTAATCCTAAACCTAACCAAGTCTTCACCCTAAAATTAATGATCCCCCTCATGGGGACCTCCAATTTGTCCCCATAAGGGAAGCCAGTCCCCACACGTGACTATGTAAACAGATGTAGGTCCCCACAAGTATAGTAATGCTAGACCACACACACACACACATGCACGTACGCACGCACACACACACACTCCTTCACAGCAGGGTACCGGTGTCATCCCTCCTTGTCGCTCCATCTCTTCTTCTCCTCCTGAACTGATGGTTTCTCGCAGCACGATCATTACGAGAGCGATAAAACCAGCAGAGTTCAGCAGTTCAACGCCCTAATTAATAACTCTCCCCGTGTCCCCCCCCCCCCCCCCTTTTTGAACGTGTGGCCCTTTTCTATGCAGGTTCATGTGTTTGAGTAAAAGGAGCAGAGCTGAATGATTTCTGGCAGACATGAGGGGAATAAAGGCTGAACGATGAATCAGAATGTCATCTAATTTGCAATATCTACATGTGCAATGTTTGGCAAAGGAATAATATATATTGAATATATCGCATTTCATTTTCTTCAAAATCATGCAGCTCTTTAATAGAGTCCCCGAACCCTAAGATATAGAAGAATAATGATCCCGACCATTTTAAAAACCAGAAGTTGCCTCACATAACACATAAAGAAGTTTGACTGTGAGGAACTTCACGTTTATCTTGTTTTTGTTATAATCTCTCTGTGCTCCCAGGTGGGCGTTAATGGAGCCGCAGTGACTCTGCTTTTGTTCAGCTGATGGATCCGTTAATATGATGGCATAATTGCATTTAATAACTTGTTTTTCACCCACAAAATAGGCCTTATTTTCATGACAATAATTACTTTGTGCAGATGTTGGATTAAAGTGTTAATGATGAAGCTAAATGTGGCGAATGCTTTAAAATGCTCTCACTGTATTTAAATGCAAACTACATTTACAAAAACACACACACACACACACACACACACACACATACTATGTATACATCACTTCAGGGGACATTACATTGACTTACATGCATTTCCAGGAGACTTATCCTAACCTTAACTATAACCAACACATGCCTAACCCTTACCCTAACCAAGTCTTCACCCTAAAATAATGATTCCTCTCATGGGGACCTCCATTATGTCCCCATAAGGGGGGCAACAGATGTAGGTCCCCACAAGTATAGTAATGCTAGGCTTCACACACACACACACACACACACACACACACACACACACACACACACACACACACACACACACACACACACAATAAGTAATAAGTACATCGCACGATAGTGTAGCAATGTAAAATGTACCTTTTTGTGCTGTTTTTACAAGATGTTTTGGGTTTTTAATGCTTTTATTTGAGATGCAATTCACCTTAAACCACTTGTCCACCCAAAATAATGCAAAGGTTTTAATGTCATATTCACAGCTACAGTGTATTTGTAGTTATGCAATGAACATCTTGGGTCACATGTTCCTCAAACAATGCAATATAAATATAAACAAGACATACATTAATAATAAGAATAGTGCAGTCTCATGGCCTGTGGGATACATTTTGATCAGTGTCACATGAATCAGGAAATATCAAACTTTCTGTTACTGTCTGGGTGCTTATCGGCTTGAATGTACTTTATGTCACACATGCTTTCTTCCAGACTGACCGTTTCCAGTCAGGCGTCGCTGCAGACTACTATCGCTCCAAGCCTCAGAAGTCCTCCAGCTTTTCCTCCTCTTCCTCTTCCTCGTTCTCACCGGTGCAGAAGCAGCAGAGACCTCCACCCGACGGAGACTTCCTGCGGGGCGCCCTGAGGCAGTATCTGTCCCTGCAGAGCGGGCGGGGAGACCCCAAACTGAGGCCCTTTTACAGCAACGGGATAGAAAACACCGGCCTAAAAACAGAGGGTCCGAAATCCAGACTGATGAAGCTGGGGAAAACTCAGGGGGCTTCAGTCAAAGAGCCTCTGACGCCTGTGGATGGTACGTGAGGGAGAAGTTTGATTTATTGTTATTTTTATGTTAATTCATTTGAATGTTTTAATCGTCTTTTTTTCTATCTTATTTTATTTTGTTGTATTTCTATTTGTATTCCACACACTATCTTGTCTTGTCGTTTTGCTGTAACTCCATCATATACAATGTTGTTTTTAATCTGTAAATCCCACTGAGACAAACGTGTTTTGTGATATTGGGCTATACAAATACAGTTCGATTTGATTTGATACTGTTAGAAAAATATCACTCGTCACCAGCTTGAGCTTCAACCTCAGGATCCATGTATCTGTGATCCTCTCCAGAATGGAAGTAGCATCACATACACATCAACTAGTTCCTGAACAGTGTCCTTCACATGCTGATATCCAAGAGAGGGAGTTACACAGTCACAAGATGGAGGAATAGAAAGCAGTATTCAATGTTTACTTCAGATTAGCTCCACGTCAGAAATGAGCATGCTTGATGTCTCTCTCCATAGAGGCTGAATCATCATGTTAATCACATAGCTATCATCTGCCTCAAACAGTCCTGATGCTCTTCCAGGTAATCACACATCCTGTCATGGAGAAGTGCACCTACTCAGGCACACTTTGATCTTTTAGCCGCTCTACTTTCAGTGCTTTTAACTCTGATCATTTTTAGGTTGTTTGTGGCCTTGTTTTATTGAGTTCTACCAGATATGCATTCTCGGCTTGCCTGTATTTGATTAGTTGACACATTATATTGCTATGGGAAAACTCAGGGGGCTTCAGTCAAAGAGCCTCTGGCGCCTGTGGATGGTACGTGAGGGAGAAGTTAGCTTTGTTTCATTTCTTTTTCCAATTCATTACATTGTTTTTTTCACATAAATGAATCCTTTTGAGTTCATTCATGGTTTAAAGCAGGGGGGTCAAACTCAATTTCATCACGGCCCACATCAGCATTATGGTTGCACTCAAAGGGCCGGTTGTAACTTTAAGACTATATAAATATATATATATATAAATATATAAAATAATGTATTATATTACATTATTGCCTCTCCTGCTTTGGATTATTATCAGATAGGGTAATAACTTCATAATACGTCTGAAAGCACATGATTTAATTCTAACTTATTGTATTTCATGTGCATTTTGGTAAGGATTGTGTCTAAGGGTCTGTTCTCTCTTCTCCATGTTTCCTGCAGAGAAGTTCATCCAGAAGGTTCTGCAGAGCGTGGGCCGGCACCATGTGGACGTGGACGGCCTGACGCCGCAGGACCTGAGCCAGCTGTCCCGCCTGATCACTGAGGCTCTGCAGGTGGTGGAAAAAGATCAGAACAAGAACCAGGCAGAGATGGCAAAAGTACACACATCCTTTACTCAAGTAGAAGTACAGATACTCGTGTTTAAAAATACTCTGGTGAAAGTAGAAGTACTGACTAAACTTCTTTACTCAAGTCAAAGTAAAGAGGCTTTGAAATGTACTTCAGTAAAAAGTACCCATAACTAGCAGCTATTTTAAAGAGTACCTGACCTCCCTTTATATTAATAGAACAATAATGTCATTGTTAGCTAATGAATGTTTCCATGCTGAACAACGGCAACATGACAACGTTTCCATTGGTCCCTCTTCTTTAGAGAAGACCAGGAAATGATGGATACACGGATCGTGTTCAAATCAATAGGCACGCAATGACTCTAAAGAATAATGATCACGCATCAAACACACATTCAGACTAAAGGAACCAGCTGTTTGGAAAATGAGAGAAGTAGAAAGTACAGGTATTTGAGTTCAACATGTAAGAAGTAGAAAGTACAGGTATTTGAGTTCAACATGTAAGAAGTAGAAAGTACAGGTATTTGAGTTCAACATGTAAGAAGTAGAAAGTACAGGTATTTGAGTTCAACATGTGAGAAGTAGAAAGTACAGGTATTTGAGTTCAACATGTAAGAAGTAGAAAGTACAGGTATTTGGGTTCAATATGTAAGAAGTAGAAAGTACAGGTATTTGAGTTCAACATGTAAGAAGTAGAAAGTACAGGTATTTGAGTTCAACATGTAAGAAGTAGAAAGTACAGGTATTTGAGTTCAACATGTAAGAAGTAGAAAGTACAGGTATTTGAGTTCAACATGTAAGAAGTAGAAAGTACAGGTATTTGAGTTCAACATGTAAGAAGTAGAAAGTACAGGTATTTGAGTTCAACATGTGAGAAGTAGAAAGTACAGGTATTTGTGTTCAACATGTAAGAAGTAGAAAGTACAGGTATTTGAGTTCAACATGTAAGAAGTAGAAAGTACAGGTATTTGTGTTCAACATGTAAGAAGTAGAAAGTACAGGTATTTGAGTTCAACATGTGAGAAGTAGAAAGTACAGGTATTTGAGTTCAACATGTGAGAAGTAGAAAGTACAGGTATTTGAGTTCAACATGTGAGAAGTAGAAAGTACAGGTATTTGGGTTCAACATGTAGGAAGTAGAAAGTACAGGTATTTGTGTTCAACATGTAAGAAGTAGAAAGTACAGGTATTTGTGTTCAACATGTGAGAAGTAGAAAGTACAGGTATTTGTGTTCAACATGTAAGAAGTAGAAAGTACAGGTATTTGAGTTCAACATGTAAGAAGTAGAAAGTACAGGTATTTGAGTTCAACATGTAAGAAGTAGAAAGTACAGGTATTTGAGTTCAACATGTAAGAAGTAGAAAGTACAGGTATTTGTGTTCAACATGTAAGAAGTAGAAAGTACAGGTATTTGAGTTCAACATGTGAGAAGTAGAAAGTACAGGTATTTGGGTTCAACATGTAAGAAGTAGAAAGTACAGGTATTTGAGTTCAACATGTAAAAAGTAGAAAGTACAGGTATTTGTGTTCAACATGTAAGAAGTAGAAAGTACAGGTATTTGTGTTCAACATGTGAGAAGTAGAAAGTACAGGTATTTGTGTTCAACATGTAAGAAGTAGAAAGTACAGGTATTTGAGTTCAACATGTAAGAAGTAGAAAGTACAGGTATTTGAGTTCAACATGTAAGAAGTAGAAAGTACAGGTATTTGGGTTCAACATGTAAGAAGTAGAAAGTACAGGTATTTGAGTTCAACATGTAAGAAGTAGAAAGTACAGGTATTTGAGTTCAACATGTAAGAAGTAGAAAGTACAGGTATTTGAGTTCAACATGTAAGAAGTAGAAAGTACAGGTATTTGTGTTCAACATGTAAGAAGTAAAAGTAAAAAGTCGTCAGAAAAATAAGAAGTGGAGTAAAGTACTGATACCAGAAACATTTATTTAAGTACAGTAACAAAGTATTTGTACTCCAGGCTCCAAACCGGGGCGGGACTCGGGTCAGACCTGGACCCAGAGACCTGGAGGGAGAGGAGGAAGAAGAGCCTGGCAGGGATGAGGAAGAGGAGGAAGAGGAGAAGCTGCTGGAGAACGCTCCGACAGTAAAACAACAGCAGAGCTTTCCCACAGCGCCAGCTAAACTGCAAGGTGATTTATCCCAATTCATTTTGAGTTTTTATGCAGTAAAAGCAGCTCTTTAGTTTGTGCATTATTGTTTAGAAAGGATTAAAGAAACAAAAGAGCTCTAAAGCAGCTTGCCACAACGCTTTAAAATCAACATAAGAAATAAAAAAGCATCCTGTTTAAACACAGCTAGTTTGAATGCTTGCACAACAAGTTTAAAATGAAGCGTCCTTGAGTTTCTTGAAATGCGCTTTTTATATCCAAGTATTATAATTAATTAAATTCCCAACAAAAAGCTTTAAAATGGCTAAAAAATATATACAACCTTGTAGCATTCTGCAAAGCTAAGTAAAAAAATACAATTTACAAAACTAGATATCACAGGAGAGCAATTAAACCGCTTGCCACAACATTAAAATTAAAGTAAAACAAATTATAAAGAATTCAAATAATTGTATATATCATTTAACCCAGATTTAAATCTTGAATATCAAATATAATCCGTGCAAAACTAAATTCCCGGAGAGCATTCTTACACTTCCAGAAGCACTTTCAGGTTATTATATCCTGAATGATTTTGAGCTTTTTTTAGTTAAACACATAGCTTTAAAATGAGTGAGAAATGCAACAATTTGACAAAAATGTAGCACGGTTCATTTGAAACCGGCAACCATCTTAATATTTACACTCTTTACATTCTGTTTTATCTTCTATTTTGAGATATTATATTGTATAATTGTATTTCTAATTATGTGCAATACTTTGTTTTACACGCTGTTGCAACGAAAATGTCCAAATTTGGAATTAATAAAGTATATCTTATTATTATCATATTATTTATTAGTATTTCATGAAATAAAACAAACGTGCCAAATGAACCACACCACAATATTCACGAAACTGTGTCTCAGGGCTTCTTAACATTTAACAACCTATTAACGTGTAATAATTAACGGGAAGAAACTCAGCTAACTGACGATACGAACCATTTTTACCGAAACAAAACACAAGTCTAACGCCGAGCCTCTGAATTAGCACTAAGCGAAAGGGTGCTAACGCACTTAGCACATAACTCACAGTAGCAATATTGTATATTTCATTCTATCTGATATCATATGAAATCTGAGATTCCACAGATTCCAATGGTATAAGTATCATCACTGTGCGACCAGAACTCACTGCAGCGAAAGTCAGGAAAGACAACACACAACTTCACCTTACGGGGCCAAACCGGCAAATACGTCTTACCGTTGCTGTTTTCTGATCAAAAGTTGTGTTCAATGGCATTAAAACGCATATAAACGCTGCTGAAGGTTAATCCAATGTCTCTGTGTCACTTTGAAATGATTACTGATAATCCATCATAACATATTTATGTCAATAAACTGAGTTTTCATATAGAGTGTAACGGAGCTTCCGGTTTTGGGCATGCTGGCTGTGCATCACTCTCCATCCTCAATGGGTAATGTTTGGATCGAGGGGATTTAGGAACCTCCCCTCGATTCTATTGGCTCTAACGGTTCAAAAGTGGTGTCAATCATCAACATCGACCAATGGGTTCCAGAGATTCGGCAAATACACCCAAATGACCCAAGAGGGTTTTTTTTCTTTCTAAATCTCTCTAAAAAGGTCAAATGTCACTTGTTTTGCATCAATCTTGATACAGGGTACTTAATATATGTTATAGTTTGGATTCCTAAAGCTTTTGTCTACTATCCCACCATTCAAGGGTGGTTTTCACTATAAGTAATGGGATTTTTTTGGACGGAAACTATAATTACATTTTTGTTACTGTTCAATCTGAATTTACTTTCATATTAAAACATCTATATTGATTCTGACTTTTCTGCATCCAACTCACAGGTTTATCATTGCTTTGAGAACATTTTTTGCGAGCCTGAGGCCTGAAAAGCAGGGTCAGGGATTAACAGGTTGAATAACCACAGGAGCAACTTCATTTCATTCAAATATTAAAATGGAGAAAGTCCTTGAAATATGGAAAGCTGGCTTTTGGCTCTTTGATCACATTTTTCATTCAGTTATGTTTTATATTAATATCAGTTAATTACTATTTAAATGTCTTAAAACGTTGACTCTCTTTCCCCTAACAGAGCGCCAAACAGATACTGAGGAGCAGAACATGGAGGAAAAGGTAGGTTTCATTTAGTTTAAGAAAAACCATACATTTTAGAGACAAGGCTGATCATTATTGCAGGAAATTAGCCTCCAGTTCTCATAATAAATTCAGCTTCTGAACAAAATGTGAAGAAACTGTCCTGAGAATTTGGCAGGAACTCCATGTTCTTGTGAGAGTGTTTAAAACAAATTAAATCAAATTGTCATAAATGTGTCGAGACTTTTGTAAAGATCCTGTCCTCCTTACCAATTAGCGAAAATGAACAACCTCTGAAATGACCAAATTGACCAATCAGAATCCAGTATTCAACTGAAGCATACAATACCGTATAATTGGATATAACAAACACTTTGAATTCCAGTTGCCTACAAACCTTCTCATCTTATCCTATTTTACATTTGCTTCGTACACATTTAATTCCACGTTGGTCACTTACACCATTTTATTTCTATTTTATTGTTTTTGTCTTATACAGTATTTATGTTGCATTGTTGAAGAAGCCTGGACAATAAAACCTTGCATATTTTAATCATCTCATTCACAAATGTCCTTTCTTTGTTTTCTCTCTCTTCTTCCCCAGCCTGACCTCTTCACCAAACTCCTCGCCTACCTGGACAAATCCTCCTTTAGCTCCGCCCCCTCGGCCAGAAATCTGGACAATTTGAACATGGAAACACCCGGAGGACGACAGGTGGGGCTGGAAAACGTCCAGAGTCGCACCAGCGAGGCGGGGGTAACGGTGCAGAAGAAGGACGCCGCTCAGCAGTTGGAGGAAGTGTCGGAGGTTCACGGATGGATCAAAGACGTGGCGCCTCCTCCGGCTGCTCTGGTTTATGACGATCCGCACAAAAAGACACTTCAAGTCCCCGAACTGCAGCTGGACGTCAAGGAAGAAGGCGGGAAGAAGGCCGACGAGGACGTGTTCGGATACGTCATCACCGACACTGAGTGAGTATACAACTACTGACATACAAGAGGATCTGCACCAAAAAAAGACTTCTCTGTAGCTCAATACTTCATTCAAATGGTTTGAATCACTTCAGTTCATGTACTATATGTTTGAGACTGGAAATTATGCATTTTCACAGAGTGAGTATAAAACTACTGACATACACACAGGTATTATGGGTAAAAGCCAGAGGAAGAAGTATTTATATTTTGGGGTAGAAACTAGGGCTGCACAATTTGGAGAAAAAAAACGATGGATATTGCAAACCATCCTATTGCAATTTAAATATAACTCTGATGAGTTGTTATTATGTTCTTGGACATGGGATATGTTTTGTATAATAGAGACTGAAAGGATGATGCAAATGTTGTCACTCTAACTTAATTTGTAGATTCATGATCTCCCTTCCTCATCTTCTTTTTAACCTGTTAAGCCCCCATGCCCCCGCGGGTTCAATGGCATTAAAACGATAAAAGCGCTGCTGAAGGTTAATCCAATGTGTCTGTGTCACTTTGAAATGATTTCTGATAATCCATCTTCATATTTACTAGTTTGAGTTTTCAGAGCATAACATAGATTTCGACTTGCTGCGCGTCACACTTCCCACTCAATGGTAACGTGTGTGTATGTGGAACTTCCCCTCGATTCTATTGGCTCTAACGGTTCAAAAGAGGTGTCAATCACAAAAATCGACCAATGGGTTCCAGAGAAATGGCAAATACACTCAAATGCGTTTTTTTTTGTTGATAAATCTCTCTAAAAAGGTAAAATGTCACTTTTTGCATCAATCTTGATACAGGGTACTTATTATATGTTATAGTTTGGATTCATAAAGCTTTTAGTCTACTATCCCATCATTCATGGGTGGTTTTCACTATAAGTAATGTTTTCTTTTTGGACAGACTCTATAATTAAATTAAATTAAAACATCTATATTGATTCTAGGGCTGTACCCGAATATTCGACTATTCGAATATTCGTTCGTTGGCCAACTATTCGGGTTTCAATTTCATTATTCGGATATTCGTTTTTTTTATTTTTTTTTCAATTTGTTCCCCCCTAAATGTATGCTATCAATAAAGGCGAATTGCCATATTCTTATACTATATTTATACTTTTGAATTGCACTGTTAAAATGCGGAAATATATACAATCTCAGCCTGTGCTCCTGACATCGCGTTCACTCACAGTCACGAACGCAAACGGCACGCTTCACTTCGCTTCACCTCGTTTCACACACCTGAACACAAAGTGCAGAAGACTTCAGCTGTGTGCGACCATTTTAAATTGGACGACGGTGAGAAGAAGGCAGTGTGCCAAATATGCGACAAGAAACGGGCCTACCACGGTGGCACAACAACTCTGAAAAGTCACCGGATGCTGTAAGTAGTAGCCTAGCCTAGCTTAGCTTAGTTGTTGTCAAGTTGCCATGATGAAGCTGCTTTATCCGCCGTTTAAACAGTAACGTTACACATGATAAAATCGTGCACTTACTTTGCTTGGAAAATAGTTGCAAGCAAGCAAGCGAATTGTTTTTTTATATTAGTTTTTCAATTTGATCCGAATAGTGAAAATAATAGGAGCAATGTGGAACATCTGGGGCTAAGGCAATTATTGGCATACAGTTCGTTCATTTATTTTTCGTTATTCATTTATTTAAATACTGTTTACTGTATCGGTAACAAGTATTACACTGTTAGACCTACTGTTACGGCTATGTTATTAAAAGTATTGTTGTTATAACAGAAATATGTGTTTTGTATCTTCAGGTTGTAAAACGATATAGACGGAATTTGGAACCAGATTTGGTCCCAGAGCGCTGCACTGCGGCTGGGTTAAATGCAGAGGACACATTTAGTTTTAATCATAGACTGTGGTTTTAATGTATGCGAGTACTGAGACAATAAATACATATAAATCGTAATAGTATGCTCTTTCTGCGCTTCTGCTTAACAGCGTGTTGTCAGGTGTCTCGGAGCGTGTTATGACATTTAAAAAAAAAAAAAAAAAATGTATTAAAAAAAAAAAAAATCTCTCCGCACCGAATATTCGCTGCTGATTACTACCGAATATCCGGAGCCCGAAAAATGGTATTCGGGACAGCCCTAATTGATTCTGACTTTTCTACATCCAACTCAAAGGTTTATCATTGCTTTGAGAAAAAAGATTATGAATTTACCCCTTTTAGAAGTGAATTTGTTCTGGGAATGTCATTTTCGAGCCTGAGGCCTGAAAAACAGGCTTGGGGCTTAACAGGTTAATACTGTTGTATTTACCAAAGTTTTCCTAGTTTATACAACTTCTTCACCTTCTTCTTTACCTGACTATGACTTCCCTGTAAGGTTAACAATGAAGTAGTATTTGTACTTTCAATAAAGGCATGTATTCCTCCTGAATACACGTTTGCTTCAGTGATAGGAAGCAGTATTCTCGAATAGTTGATCAAACTAGACACCCGTCAGCTAATGCTACACCTAAATCTAGCCACTTGATAGCAAACGCCCTTTTTAAGACGCGTAAAAGCTTCGGACATTCACCAGTGAGCTTTTTAGTGACATATTTTATGTTGTAGAACAAAATGGTAAAATGTCTTCAGCTTGTGTTTATTTCAGGCATCTAATATAACTACTACAGTGCTGAAATGCTGATTCATTTCCGGGTTAAGGTCTCATTCGTGCACCATGTATACGAGATTTTGAATAGATTGTATCAAAGCTGTGCTCTGTCCTGCTGTTACAGGCTGTTTTATGTGAGAAAGATCCGAACCCTCCATACTGTAGGATCTGCAGAGATCATGGAGTCAGATCTGAAGCAGCTGCTTTGAGGACTGCCTCACACTGTGTCTGTAATCTGGGCTGTTAGTAACTTCTAATACGCAGAAAATCTAGTTTGACCAACAGTGGTTCAAGGGTTGGAAGAGTTACTTTAAAAATGTATTCACTTACAAGTCATTACCTGTTAGAAAAGTAGAGTGTAACCTAAGATAAGTAAGCTAATCTAATGCGCAAGTATCACAATTAATATATTATGCACATTTCTGCACAGATCTCCACTTTAAAATATAATATAATACACTTCAGTTGTCATATATTCATTGTAATACGTTTTTTTTCTTTCTTTTGTATATTTAAATGCAGTGTAAATACTTGTCTTTAATTTGTTTGTAAATACTAAATCTTAATTTTTTTAACATTTTCTTTTTATAATCATTATATCTTTGACCTACGACTACTACAAAGCAAATTCCTGGTATGTCTAGACGTACATGACAATACCCTGGATTTTGATTCTGATTCTGAAGTAACATAACATATTTAATCTGTCCTCTGCTCAGTGTTACTCTTGGGGATGAGTCTTGTTTAATTTATAATTTCTCTTCCTCTTCATCAGTGGGCTGCAGACGGACGAAGGCCTCCACCTGATGGAGATCCTCGCTCACATGGCTAAAATCCAGATGACCGACTTCGCCGAGCTCTCGTAAGTATTTCTGTTTTTATTTATTGGTCACACTTCAGCAGATATGAGTTTGATCAACTGCTTAAAAAGACAAAAGTCAGAGGACATTTGCACGTCAACCCCATGGTCACCAACACTTTGTAACACAAGAGTTACATGTCTTTTTTGCTAGGGAAGATTTCAGCCTTACTCTATGTCTTTAAATCAGAATGACTAACCATAATACAAAACAAAGTAAAACAAATAAAATAAATGTGTTAATAATATCCTACTTCTATATGTTGTTAGCTGTAATAGAGTGGCGAAGTCAGGCCCATCTACTTCCGGTCCATGGGACCTTATTTCGGAAAAATAATGTATTGAAGTCAATGGAGAGAGAAAACTTATCTTTCGATCCCGTTTGAATTGTGCCATGAATTACACATATGATGTTTGTCAATCTTAAAAAATAATTTCCATGTAAAAAAAGTCACAGTTTGTCGTAAAACGGTTGAAATATAAGACTATGAAAAATACGCAACTCGAAAGACTACACGTCCCAGAGTTGCGTAAGTCATGTTACATTGCATTACATTACATTGCATTTAGCTGACGCTTTTGTCCAAAGCGACTTACAATAAGTACATTCGACCAGGAAGACACAACCTTGAAGAAAACAGAATCATATAAGTATATCAGGTTTCATAGAGCCAAACATTTCAAGTGCTACTCAACTGGCTTTAGGTAATCCAGTCCTTTATTGGTATAAAAGTGCTTCGTTAATCGTTCTAACGCTCGAAGTGGAGTCGAAAGAGATGAGTTTTCAGTTTGCGCCGGAAGATGTGCAAGCTATCTGCCGTCCTGATGTCAATGGGGAGCTCATTCCACCATCTTGGAGCCAGGATAGCAAACCCACGTGTTTTCGCCGATGGGAACTTGGGTCCCCCTCGCAGCGAGGGCGCAACGAGTCGTTTGGCTGATGCAGAGCGTAGTGCACGCGCTGGGGTGTACGGTTTAACCATGTCCTGGATGTAGGAAGGGCCAGATCCATTCGCAGCACGGTAAGCAAGTACCAGTGTCTTGAAGTGGATTCTAGCAGTTACCGGAAGCCAGTGAAGGGAGCGGAGGAGCGGAGTGGTGTGGGAGAATTTAGGAAGGTTGAAAACCAGACGAGCCGCTGCATTCTGGATGAGCTGCAGAGGTCGGATGGCACATGCAGGTAGACCAGCCAGGAGGGAGTTGCAGTAGTCTAGGCGTGAGATGACGAGAGCCTGGACCAGAACCTGAGTCGCTTTCTGAGTCAGCTGGGGACGTATCTTCCTGATGTTGTAAAGCGTGTATCTGCAGCAGCGGGTTGTAGCAGCGATGTTTGCAGTGAAGGACAGGTTGTTATCTAGGGTCACACCCAGATTCCTTGCAGTCTGAGTCGGGGAAACAACTGAGGTGCCGATGTTGATTGTCAGGTCAAGAGTTGGACAATCTTTTCCCGGGAGGAAGAGCAGCTCAGTCTTGTCAAGGTTGAGCTTGAGGTGGTGAGCAGACATCCACTGAGAGATGTCAGCTAGACAAGCAGAGATGCGTGCGACGACCTGGGTCTCTGAGCGGGGAAAGGACAGAATTAATTGGGTGTCGTCAGCGTAGCAGTGGTAAGAAAAACCATGCGGGCTAATGACTGATCCGAGCGAGTTTGTGTACAAGGAGAAGAGGAGGGGACCAAGAACAGAGCCCTGAGGGACCCCCGTAGTTAATTGACAAGGGTCGGACTCAGACCCTCTCCAAGTCACCCTGTAGGTACGGTCTTTCAGGTATGAGGTGAGGAGGGAAAGTGCAGAGCCAGAAACTCCAAGTTTTTGGAGAGTGCGAAGGAGGATCTGATGATTCACCGTGTCGAATGCAGCAGACAGGTCCAACAGGATGATGACAGAGGAGAGGGATGCAGTTTTGGCAGTGTGCAGTTCCTCCGTGACAGCAATGAGAGCAGTTTCTGTGGAGTGACCTGCCTTGAAACCAGACTGGTGCGGATCCAGAAGGTTGTTCTGATTGAGATAACAGGAGAGTTGTTTTAAAGACAGCGCGTTCAAGTGATTTAGACAGGAACGGGAGGAGAGAGACAGGCCTGTAGTTTATAACATCAGACGGGTTGAGAGTGGGTTTCTTTAGGAGAGGGTTTTACTCTTGCCTCCTTGAGACTGTTTGGAAAGTGACCAGAAGTTAGAGAAGTGTTGATGAAATGGGTGAGAAACGGTAGAATATCAGGAGCGATAGTCTGAAGGAGGTTTGAAGGGATAGGGTCCAGAGGACAGGTGGTAGGGCGGGGCAGAGGTAATGAGGGTAAGAACCTCACTTGGAGAGAGAGGGGAAAAGGAGGTTAGTGTGTTGGTGGAAGGAGGGTCTGGTGACCCAGCGGTGAGTAAAGGTGAGTCAGAAAAAGAAGAGCGAATATCATTAACCTTTTTTTCAAAGTGGGTAACAAAGTCGCTTGACAGAAGTGAGGAGGGGGGGAGGAGCTTTTGGAGGGTCCAAGAGGGTGGAGAAGATGGAAAATAGTTTTTTAGGATTGGAATAGGAAGATTGGATCTTATCTTGAAAGAAAGTGCTTTTTGCCTGAGAGATCGAAGCAGAGAAAGAGGAGAGGAGAGCTTGATAGGTTAGGAGGTCGTCACGGTGTTTGGATTTCCACCATTTCCGCTCTGCTGCCCTAAGGACGGTTCTATTAGCACGCAGTGCATCATTTAGCCAGGGAGCCGGAGGGGACTGACGAGCCTGCCGAGATGTCAGAGGACAGAGCGAGTCCAGAGTGGATGAGAGAGTAGAGAGGAGAGTTTCTGCAGCAGAGTTTGGAGGCAGTAGTTGGAACGAATCAGAGGAAGGGAGGGCTGAGAGCACCGACGAGGCAAAGGTAGAGGGAGAGAGGGAGCGAAGGTTACGGCGGACAAGTGTAGGATGGGAAGAGATTAGTTTGTTATGTTTGGAAAGGGATAGAGAAAATGAAATGAAGAAGTGATCGGATGTGTGGAGCGGGTTTACAGAGAGGTTAGAAGTAGCGCAGTTCCTTGAGAATATGAGATCAAGGACATTGCCAGCTTTATGAGTCGGTGGGGACGGAGATAGTGAGAAAGCAAAGGCGGTTAACAGAGATGTTAGTTCGTCTATCTTCCCCATCTGGAGGTTGAAGTCTCCGAGAAGTACAGCGGGAGGGCCAGTTTCAGGGATGTGTGAGAGGAGATGATCTAATTCCTCCAAGAAGTCCCCCAAGGCGCCTGGTGGACGGTAGAGAACAACAATGGTTAACTGTATAGGATGGGTTACTGTGACGGCATGGAACTCAAAGGTGGAAGGAGTAAAGTTAGGTAGCTTGAAGAGGGAAAAGCTCCATTTGGGAGAGAGCAGGAGACCAGTGCCACCTCCTCTGCCAGTGGGTCTGGGTGTATGGGAGAAGGAATATGCAGTGGAGAGAGCTGCTGGGGTGGATGTGTTGGATGGAGTAATCCAGGTCTCAGTGAGAGCAAGGAAATCCAGAGACTACAGGGAGGTGTAGCCAGAGATGAAGTCAGCCTTAGGAACAGCTGACTGGCAGTTCCACAGGCCACCTGAAACTAGATGATGGATCTCAGTGGAGCACGTGGGATAGACGAGAGCAGGCCGGTTATATCGATTAGGAGATACACGGGGCCAGTGATAATTGCGAGAAGACACATGAACAGGAATAGAAAACAGAAAAAATGTTTTCCTCAACTAAGAGATAGCTAAGATCAGCTAAGATAAGATAACTTTAACAAGATGCCTGTGTGCTTTGTACCAGGTTGTAATCATACCAGCAATGGGTCTTGCTCGTTCTTTCGCTTCCCGTCTGATGAAAGGACCAGCAGTGGCTGGATCAAGTTAGCTACCTAGCTAGTAGCTAGCACGTTAGTTAGCATTACAGCCTTGTCATTTTTATTAGCCTTAATATGAAGTTACATTAAGTAACCCAACATGTTAAACAGTAAGAGTAGTAGTCATATTTTGTGAACCCTTTGAAGAGTACTGTCACCGGTGTGATCATTCTATAATACACCATTTAAGCCCGGGGGAGAAATGCTAACGCTAGCATCGCCGATCGCCGATCTTTTGTACTTCATGCTATCTGCACAAAAGGTTGACATTAAACATTAAAAAGACCAGGCAGTTCAGAGAGAATCAAAGGAAGGCAGGCAGGCAGCTTTGCATGACATTCTTCTGGACGTGTTTCATTGTGGTGATAGTGAGGGTAGTCAATCGTTTTGTTGACAAGACAGTAGTGACGGCCATCTTGGTGACGTGTGTTGTTCTGCGAGACCAGATATGTAGTTCATTGAGCGTTTCACACAAACAAATGTGTTACATCACAGTTTTACGACACATTTTTTTTAGTTTGACTTGCAAAATTATCTTTTAAATTGACAAACATCATATGTGTAATTCGTGGCACATTTCAAACGGGATCGAAAGATAATCTTTCTCTTTCCATTGACTACAGTACATAATTTTTTCGAAATACGGTCCCATGGAGGTCCACCGGAAGGGGAGGGACTTCGCCACTCTATTGGCCCTTCATAGTATATATTTCACATATAATCTTCACAATGCGAGATGTGGGTCCACACAAGCTACTATAAACCAGCATATTCTGTACACGCACAAAACTCCAGCTCCTGAAACTAATAATAAACAAATTTGTGATGCTTATAATGTCCTTCTAAAACGTTGAAAAGCATCGCAATATCACTTTGAAACACATCCTGACTAGAAACAGTGCAGGAGCAAAGGTCAGTACATGATTCATCCAGTTTATGGTTCGCTTTGCGTTCTTAACAAACCTTCAGGCTCAAGTGGGCGGAACATTTTTTCTAAAAGGGCGAGCATCTCGTACTGGAAACTCTTCAGATATCCCCGCTTGGTAGATGAACAATGCCTTGTTTACATGCTGGCATCAATAACGTATATATTATCTTTAAAAACCTCAAAATAAACAGAAATAGTGTTGCATGTCACCTTTTTGCTCTCCAATGAGGGCGAGTCCT